TGCATGACCGATTAGAAATTAATTGCTGCTACAAAAAATAAATGATTTTGTGATACTAATTTTTACTTTCACAATAAATAATTGCTTTTTTTTTTCCTTATAATAATAAATAAATAAAACAAATATAATATGCCACAGATTATATACTTTTTTCTTTCATTCAAAGTAATTTTTCCAAGCGCAACTAAATTTGATAAAAATGAATACTTTTTCAAACTGCAATTAAATTTTATAAAATCTTGGAAAAGAAAAACTTTCAGGATGTAATTTTTTCAGGATGTGATTTCATCGAAATTGTCAATTAATCAAATCATTGGCTACTTTTTTTATATTTAGTAATAAATATAAAATTATTAGAAATAATTATTAAAACCGCACTTAAATTGTTAAATTTGTTAAATATTTGATTTAAATTTTGTCGTTTTGACTTTCAAATTAGTTAAGTTTGATAGTTAATTAGATTAGATAATTAAATTATTTCCAATAAAAAACGAGGTAAAATATATCAAATGCTTCTGATTTGTTATTTCTGTTTGTTTTAGATGTTAAATCTGTGTATTTTGCAATTATTTATTCAATTACATGCAATGTAAACACATATAAAATTTACTAATTATTCGTAATATTGAAGAAAAAATTTGATAATTATTGAAATAATCGTCATCGATAATTATTAAAATTATTCATTAAAATAATCACTGAGATCATTCGATAATTATTAATTAAATAATTATTTAGTAATTACTGAAATATTTATTTAGTATTATTCATTGAAATTCAATAATTTTTGTCTAATTATTGGAATGAAGTTTAACATAAATAACGATTAATATGATTTGAGATTTTCAAATCCATTGGTTCACCAATCATGAAATAAATCGATTTCTTCTTGTGATGGTATCTAAAAATTAACATTTTGAGAATGAGTTCAACATCTTATCAGTAACATTCATTACCATGTATCACATACTTATCCAAAATAGCATTTTTTTTCCTCCATAAAAAATTTTTTCTCATTATTGTCTCATTTTTATATACTGAACAATTGTAATTAAAAATTTGCGAGTGATAATAAGTTAGTTAATTATATCTTAATATGTTTATTTTGAGCTAAAAATTTTAAAGATTAATTGAAATGTAAGCATAAGATAATTCCCAAATGAAATAAAGTGATAGATTTAATTTTTTACTAGCTAGTATTAACACACTATAGCTTGTTTATTTTTCTTTTCTTTTAGCAATAAAAGTGAATTTTATTGTTACATGAAGTTCTGGAGTATTTTACAATCTCTTTAATTAATGGTGAGATAAATGATTCATTAATCGATGATAATTGTTCAAAGATTTCATGAAGCTCTATTTTTTTCTTTTAATATATGTATATATTTTTTCAACATTTCCAATGAGAGCATATTATTTTTTACTTCAAATTTTTGATTACAGAAGGGACATTATAACAATCCAGCAGTTATCAGGCGAACTTATCGAATAACCGGTCGTATTACTAATGGTGATATTGAAAATTTGCAGTCACCGATGATCATTCATCACTGTCAACATCGAACTGTTTTTGAACTTAATGAAGCTTCCAGATCTATGGAACGAGAACAATGGCATAGATACAAACGAGGTTAGACGTTACTTAAGATTGAATAGCTGATATTTTTAATAGAAGAAAGTTGAAAATGCACAGTCAGTTATTAAAAGAACTTTGCACTTCAAAGTTTGTTCTAAAAATTGTTCATGAAGGACAAAGTATTACCGTATAATTGAAATGACTGGAAATTTGTAAATTTAATCAATTTCATGCTAATTCTTTTTTTCTCATTACTTGAAATCTCAAAATTCCAAAACATTCATTTTAAAACTTACTTGCGGTAAGCCTATTATATTACTAATGATGCGTAATTTCTTTCTAAGAAAATTTCACTTCTAGAAGTGTTTGAATCACTACAATTTGCCGTTCTCAGTGGTCAAGCAGTTGAAATGGATAAAATTATAATTAAGTGAAAGGAATACTATGTGTCTGAATCTGCTCTGAAAAATGATCGAAAATCATGACATTTGATTCGTTAAACCTTGTTGTGCATTCTTGTTTCATTTCTCGAGCTTCTTTTTCTAACTTTAAAGAGAAGATGGATCAAAGATTGTCATCCTAATGCACATATTAAATATGGCAGCAATAACAATAGTTATTGAATTGAGTGATATTTGTTCTGATAGTTTTTTTATAATATTACAAGCTTTGAATTATAGCATAAATAACGGCTCTTCTGGAATATTTTTAATTTTAACCAAAGTGAATGAAATTACGAGAATTTAAAAAAATAGAATCATACTTATTTATCTAAATGTTACGTATATGTTAATAGTAATAGTAAAAATTATACAACAGAAGAAGTTCTTTCAACAGATTTATTAAAAAAAAAGAACTTCAAATTTTCATATTCTTTCATGCAATCGAATGATAATGATAAAGGTCAATTTAATTGACGAAAGAAACTAATTATTATTTAAATTCTGGCTTACAAGTTTTGTTGTACTGATTTATATTATCTGCGGATAATATTTGAAATGTTTTATGCTTCTCAGTCCATTTGGTAAACATACAAATGAATCATAACAAGAATTTAACAGTCAATTCACTTCTATAATCTGACACTGTGAATTAATCATTATAACAAATTTTATGTGATGCAAGTAACTACTTCTGATTTAGCCGCATCAAGTAATTGGTGCGGAGTTGTTGGTGGGGAAGATGAAATTTTAATTTCATAGAAAATAATGAAATTGAAATTATATTTTTAGATTGCAGGAAGTGCTTTATTTAAATGCAATTTGATAAAGAAATTCTCCTGTTTAAGTGAATCTCTCTAGGTTTCTGTATAAAACAAATCAGTGCGAAGCATATTCAGTCACATCGTAAAATTAATTAGATCATATTCAAGTTCCAAGTCAAATTGATGATGCCTATATCACATTTAGATTAAATAAGATAAATATAATGAATTTTTCTAGTGGATATTTGTAAAATTCCACAACATTCGGCTGTTGTTTCATTATCTTTTTAATATCAACGTAACCATTGGAATTAACCCAGTAATTGTTCGAATTGATTCATTTAACTAAAAAACGAATTTAAATTCATGACATCAGATATAGCACCATTCTTCTCTTTTAAACGCAGTATCTGTTTTTCATAACTGCTCAACTTTATCACTCGTTCCATCTCAAATTACATTAATTCTCGATGCAGAAAGGACGCAGAATCGTTGCAACATAATTCCAGTCAAAATTTTGTCAAAATTTTCATTTGCCTTGAGACTATTAATTATTCTGCAGCATAGTTTTCCCTGTTAATGTTTATTTTCCCTTTTGGAGTGTTACTTTATTCGATTCAAAATAAATGCCTCAGTAATAACTATTAAATATTGGCCTCGTGGAATGAAATTTTTATGATGAGTGATATTTTGGTGTTATTTTCTTTCTAATCTAGAAAAGCAGTGACATCAACTCAGCAGATGGAATGCAATTGTTAGATATTGTCCATGGTACTTCTGGTACCAGAAGTACCATGGACAAAAAAAAAAAAAAAAAAATTTAAATTTTATAAATTTAAAAAAAAATTTAAAAAAAAAAAAAAATTTTTTAAAAAAAAAAAAAAAAAAAAAAAAAAAAAAAATTTAAAAAAATAAAAAAATTTAAATTTTTCAAATTAATTTTTGCTTAATCAGATATCTTTGAAGATGACGAATGATCACTTACTAAGCATTTAAGGGAATGAAATAAAGATAAACTAAAAGTAAATTATTCAAATTCAAATAAGAGAATATTTGATAATGATTAATTAATTTCATATTAAATGAAAGCCAGAAGTCAGTTGTAAATTAATCTTGGATGATATCTTCAATTATTCGGGAACATTCTTTGATCAATGTTATATTTTTTCAATTTTTTGTAAATGGAAATTTTCAAATAATTTAGCTCGGAAAAAAAGTAAATAGTATAACGGAAAATATCATGCCAAAATTATGAATTTGTTTGCGTCATTACGAGAGATCACGGATATATTACGTGATTATAAGCTGACGTAAGTGGTTTTTTTAACACAAGTATTTATTTCTCTTTTAAATCATTTCAGTTTCTTAATATTGTGATTTCAATGTGTTGAGAATGACTTCTAGTAGTACAGCATCAGTAACAATTTAGCGCTATGTGAACTATACGTGATAATTTCATGAAATTCGGATTCAAAATTTTTATGAACAAATGTAACTTAGATTAACGCTGTTAATATTGTAATAGGAATTCTGGATTTTAGCATAAGTTTATTTCAGTTCACACATTCATTGATTGCATTATCACAAGTAAAATTGTAAGTTGGTTAGAAAATCATATGGTATATCAAGTACATCAGCAATTATTAAAATTATCATTATTATTTGTTATATAGAAGTGATCTGTTAGCTAGAGTGATGATGTGTTAGTATCAGTCTTTGATATTCCCGCTTTACCAGAATTTCATTTCGTCTTTGTCATAAATTCTGCAACTTTATCGGCGATATGTAATTCCTTGATTACGCTTCATTCCTCTTCTTCGTCTGTAATTATCGCGAAATATCGCTTGGTGGAATTTTTGCTCAGAATCTGTTTCATCCGATTCGTTACAATCATCATCATCATCATCCTCACCATCATCACTGTCATCGTCATCGTCGTTGTCGTCCAATACATCAAAATTTGTCCCTATATATTAATGATGTATAAGTAAATTCGATATTTTTTTTCCTATTCTAGCTTTAGTTATAATTTCTTGTTTGTTTTTTAATGAAGAAATATTAATTTCGTATATTTGTACGTTCTCATCGACGTATATTTCATCTACGTATAGCACGCAAACGTAAAATATCAGGTAGAATGATTTGTAATTCTTATTTCTGTATTAAAATTTTTAATTTTTTAAGAGTTGTAATCTTATTATCAAAATATTATAGTTTGTTAATTTTCGTCTATATGATAACTTACCGCCAGTATTTTCGACTGTTATTTCGTTGCTATCATCGTAATCATCACTAGTTGCATCACTTGTTGAATATAATTCACTCTTTTCATTACTATAGTCTCTTGATTCACTTTCCGTATCCGAATCACCATAAGCATCTTGAATAAGCGTTGATTCGGAATTTCTAATTTTGCTGCATCCAGTTTCTATTTTCATATTACCTTGCTCCAAACATCCGCTTAGATGACATTTCGATACATCAGTCTCATTCTTTAATTGTCTTGAACTACTACTACCAGCTTCTTCTGAACGTGAAACATTTAAATTTGTTTGTTCTACAAAATGCTGTGCATTTTCTGGTTTGTTTTCGCAGAATGGACAAAACCAGTCATTTTCCGGGATTCGCTCCAGTTTCTCCGGTAAGCAATAGCAATGATAGGCGACATTACAGCGAATCGTAGAACCATCAGCATTTTGACCAATGTTTCCGTCGCAGAGTAGCAGTAAATGTTCATTATCTGAACTTCTGCATGATCGGCAGTTTGCATATTCAATGGTAATATCTTCATTTGAAGGGCCGCCTTGATCATTTTCCAGTTGTTCTTGGGCAAGAAGCTTGAAAATTCAAAAATTTTGCAAAATTTTAAGCAAAAATGAAAAAAGATTTCAAAATAATTAACAACAAATAATATGGTAACATTGTTAATTCTTTATAGAATATGTTGCAACAAATGATTGTAATATTTCTTTTTTCTGAAAATTTAGAACAGAATTATGTCAAAAGGGATAAGACTCTAAAGGATAGATTTGAAATTCAAATTTTTTAAAAAATTACAATGAAGCTTGAAAGACTTCTGTTTATACAGAATAACATTATGAATTTTCACCTTTCCTCCAATTCAATCAAATTTCTTCTGATTTAAAAGCTTAATTTTAACTGCTTGGTAAATTCTAGGTTAAAAATTTCATATATGGTCCTAGACTAGAATCTTTATATAAAGAAAGGTAAACTGGAATATTTTCATGACCGTGTCCGGAAAAATTGTTTAAAATATTTAATTAATCAAACAAAGGACCATTTCACTATAATAATAACAATCATCATGTTAAATAAGTTTAAAAAAATTAATGATATAGACAATCAAATTAAAATATTTCATAGTGATGATATATTAATGATAACACTGATAACCTCATTTTCAAATTGTTCCTTTGTTCTTTTTTTTACTGGCACTTTTCTTTCATTGTTTGTTTCTTCAATTTTAATTAGATATTTTGGCTCTCCACCACAAAGTGGGCATTGTGATCGCTTTTTTAACCAATCGCGAATACATTTAAAACAGAATTTGTGCTTACAATTATCAGGTCTTCCAAGCGGATATTTTAATTGTTCCAAACATATGGCACAATTTGATTCCATTTTTTTTTTTTCTTTTTTTAAAAAAGTCTTGTTAGAATAACACTCTTTTTAATCGTCTGCAAAACTAACACTTCCAGTGGTTATGCGAACTCTTCACTAACAGATCCTGTAGCTAATACTAACTGATAAAATAATAAAATGATTATTTATAGTAAAGAAAATTTTTGAAAAATTTGCATATGCAAAAAATGTATTTAAAAAAATGGGAAAATTTATTGTGTTGAGAGGCATTTTAAAAAAGATGAAAGGACATAATTTCAATGAAAATTTATGAACTAAAAAAATTTCTTTCAACACAAGCAATAATTATAGCAATAAATTACTAAAGCAAATAGAACTAACTTTTAAAAAAAGATGAAAAAAAAAGCAGGCAATAAGCAAAATAATATCACTCAAATAAAATTAATAGTTTAACAATGAGTTTTATATCAAAATGTACAATAAATATGCTCAATAAAAAAAGCATGCAGTTGCGCGTAGTTAGCAAAAAAAGCATGCAGCAAAGAAAGCTAACCACCTGCTATTTTTTTTTGCATGACCGATTAGAAATTAATTGCTGCTACAAAAAATAAATGATTTTGTGATACTAATTTTTACTTTCACAATAAATAATTGCTTTTTTTTTTCCTTATAATAATAAATAAATAAAACAAATATAATATGCCACAGATTATATACTTTTTTCTTTCATTCAAAGTAATTTTTCCAAGCGCAACTAAATTTGATAAAAATGAATACTTTTTCAAACTGCAATTAAATTTTATAAAATCTTGGAAAAGAAAAACTTTCAGGATGTAATTTTTTCAGGATGTGATTTCATCGAAATTGTCAATTAATCAAATCATTGGCTACTTTTTTTATATTTAGTAATAAATATAAAATTATTAGAAATAATTATTAAAACCGCACTTAAATTGTTAAATTTGTTAAATATTTGATTTAAATTTTGTCGTTTTGACTTTCAAATTAGTTAAGTTTGATAGTTAATTAGATTAGATAATTAAATTATTTCCAATAAAAAACGAGGTAAAATATATCAAATGCTTCTGATTTGTTATTTCTGTTTGTTTTAGATGTTAAATCTGTGTATTTTGCAATTATTTATTCAATTACATGCAATGTAAACACATATAAAATTTACTAATTATTCGTAATATTGAAGAAAAAATTTGATAATTATTGAAATAATCGTCATCGATAATTATTAAAATTATTCATTAAAATAATCACTGAGATCATTCGATAATTATTAATTAAATAATTATTTAGTAATTACTGAAATATTTATTTAGTATTATTCATTGAAATTCAATAATTTTTGTCTAATTATTGGAATGAAGTTTAACATAAATAACGATTAATATGATTTGAGATTTTCAAATCCATTGGTTCACCAATCATGAAATAAATCGATTTCTTCTTGTGATGGTATCTAAAAATTAACATTTTGAGAATGAGTTCAACATCTTATCAGTAACATTCATTACCATGTATCACATACTTATCCAAAATAGCATTTTTTTTCCTCCATAAAAAATTTTTTCTCATTATTGTCTCATTTTTATATACTGAACAATTGTAATTAAAAATTTGCGAGTGATAATAAGTTAGTTAATTATATCTTAATATGTTTATTTTGAGCTAAAAATTTTAAAGATTAATTGAAATGTAAGCATAAGATAATTCCCAAATGAAATAAAGTGATAGATTTAATTTTTTACTAGCTAGTATTAACACACTATAGCTTGTTTATTTTTCTTTTCTTTTAGCAATAAAAGTGAATTTTATTGTTACATGAAGTTCTGGAGTATTTTACAATCTCTTTAATTAATGGTGAGATAAATGATTCATTAATCGATGATAATTGTTCAAAGATTTCATGAAGCTCTATTTTTTTCTTTTAATATATGTATATATTTTTTCAACATTTCCAATGAGAGCATATTATTTTTTACTTCAAATTTTTGATTACAGAAGGGACATTATAACAATCCAGCAGTTATCAGGCGAACTTATCGAATAACCGGTCGTATTACTAATGGTGATATTGAAAATTTGCAGTCACCGATGATCATTCATCACTGTCAACATCGAACTGTTTTTGAACTTAATGAAGCTTCCAGATCTATGGAACGAGAACAATGGCATAGATACAAACGAGGTTAGACGTTACTTAAGATTGAATAGCTGATATTTTTAATAGAAGAAAGTTGAAAATGCACAGTCAGTTATTAAAAGAACTTTGCACTTCAAAGTTTGTTCTAAAAATTGTTCATGAAGGACAAAGTATTACCGTATAATTGAAATGACTGGAAATTTGTAAATTTAATCAATTTCATGCTAATTCTTTTTTTCTCATTACTTGAAATCTCAAAATTCCAAAACATTCATTTTAAAACTTACTTGCGGTAAGCCTATTATATTACTAATGATGCGTAATTTCTTTCTAAGAAAATTTCACTTCTAGAAGTGTTTGAATCACTACAATTTGCCGTTCTCAGTGGTCAAGCAGTTGAAATGGATAAAATTATAATTAAGTGAAAGGAATACTATGTGTCTGAATCTGCTCTGAAAAATGATCGAAAATCATGACATTTGATTCGTTAAACCTTGTTGTGCATTCTTGTTTCATTTCTCGAGCTTCTTTTTCTAACTTTAAAGAGAAGATGGATCAAAGATTGTCATCCTAATGCACATATTAAATATGGCAGCAATAACAATAGTTATTGAATTGAGTGATATTTGTTCTGATAGTTTTTTTATAATATTACAAGCTTTGAATTATAGCATAAATAACGGCTCTTCTGGAATATTTTTAATTTTAACCAAAGTGAATGAAATTACGAGAATTTAAAAAAATAGAATCATACTTATTTATCTAAATGTTACGTATATGTTAATAGTAATAGTAAAAATTATACAACAGAAGAAGTTCTTTCAACAGATTTATTAAAAAAAAAGAACTTCAAATTTTCATATTCTTTCATGCAATCGAATGATAATGATAAAGGTCAATTTAATTGACGAAAGAAACTAATTATTATTTAAATTCTGGCTTACAAGTTTTGTTGTACTGATTTATATTATCTGCGGATAATATTTGAAATGTTTTATGCTTCTCAGTCCATTTGGTAAACATACAAATGAATCATAACAAGAATTTAACAGTCAATTCACTTCTATAATCTGACACTGTGAATTAATCATTATAACAAATTTTATGTGATGCAAGTAACTACTTCTGATTTAGCCGCATCAAGTAATTGGTGCGGAGTTGTTGGTGGGGAAGATGAAATTTTAATTTCATAGAAAATAATGAAATTGAAATTATATTTTTAGATTGCAGGAAGTGCTTTATTTAAATGCAATTTGATAAAGAAATTCTCCTGTTTAAGTGAATCTCTCTAGGTTTCTGTATAAAACAAATCAGTGCGAAGCATATTCAGTCACATCGTAAAATTAATTAGATCATATTCAAGTTCCAAGTCAAATTGATGATGCCTATATCACATTTAGATTAAATAAGATAAATATAATGAATTTTTCTAGTGGATATTTGTAAAATTCCACAACATTCGGCTGTTGTTTCATTATCTTTTTAATATCAACGTAACCATTGGAATTAACCCAGTAATTGTTCGAATTGATTCATTTAACTAAAAAACGAATTTAAATTCATGACATCAGATATAGCACCATTCTTCTCTTTTAAACGCAGTATCTGTTTTTCATAACTGCTCAACTTTATCACTCGTTCCATCTCAAATTACATTAATTCTCGATGCAGAAAGGACGCAGAATCGTTGCAACATAATTCCAGTCAAAATTTTGTCAAAATTTTCATTTGCCTTGAGACTATTAATTATTCTGCAGCATAGTTTTCCCTGTTAATGTTTATTTTCCCTTTTGGAGTGTTACTTTATTCGATTCAAAATAAATGCCTCAGTAATAACTATTAAATATTGGCCTCGTGGAATGAAATTTTTATGATGAGTGATATTTTGGTGTTATTTTCTTTCTAATCTAGAAAAGCAGTGACATCAACTCAGCAGATGGAATGCAATTGTTAGATATTGTCCATGGTACTTCTGGTACCAGAAGTACCATGGACAAAAAAAATAAAAAAATTTAAATTTTATAAATTTAAAAAAAAATAAAAAAAAAAAAAAAAATTTTTTAAAAAAAAAAAAAATTTAAAAAATAAAAAAAATTTAAAAAAATAAAAAAATTTAAATTTTTCAAATTAATTTTTGCTTAATCAGATATCTTTGAAGATGACGAATGATCACTTACTAAGCATTTAAGGGAATGAAATAAAGATAAACTAAAAGTAAATTATTCAAATTCAAATAAGAGAATATTTGATAATGATTAATTAATTTCATATTAAATGAAAGCCAGAAGTCAGTTGTAAATTAATCTTGGATGATATCTTCAATTATTCGGGAACATTCTTTGATCAATGTTATATTTTTTCAATTTTTTGTAAATGGAAATTTTCAAATAATTTAGCTCGGAAAATTAGGTACAAATGATAGTGCTATGAAGCGGAGTATTCCTTATTACGGAGAACCAACTAAAGTATTACTTATGATAAGTTATCATAAATGATTAGTAGAAAGGAAAAGAATTAAAAAGTGAAAAATCCAAAAAGAAATTTGATATTTATTGCTAATTGCTAAAAAGTAGTTTTGTAAGTTCAATAAAAATTGACCTAAACAACAAAAGATAAGAATTATATCATAAAAATTTAATAGATAGTGCTGCATTCCTATTTAATATATATTTTAAAAATTAAATGAAAACTTCAGATATGCTTTTTTTGAATTCAAATGAAAAGAAAAATTATTCAATAAATTGGAAAGTTAAAAAAATCAGTTTCTGTAATTAATATATTAATTATAGCAATTTAACCAATTTTAAAATATTTCAAACAATGTGCTGAATTTTATTTTTCTAATAATTTTACTAATTTGTTAATTTTAAAATAACAGAATATTGATAAAATTAATTCATATATAAAAAACTAATAAGTATGCAGTAAACGACATCTTCTTATCTTATCAATTATCATCACAGATAACACTTCATCTCTTTATCATTTATCAATGACGAGTTCAAAATTATCAAATTTTTAAAATATCAAATTATCAAAAATTTCCAAAATTAGGCAGAGCTAAAAAAGACACTTTGAACCTTTTCGATTTATCACTTATCAATGATAAGCTCAAATTTATAAATTCTGACGAAAGAAATAGAGCTGCAAAAGATAATTTACATCCTACAGCTAAGTCCATTTGTAGTTTTTCCTGAATTGCATGGAATAAATAGCCAAAACATTGAGAGAAAGAGAGAAAAAAGGGAGTACGAAATAGGAAGAAGGACAGAGAGTGCGAGTGTGTGCATAAAAAGCATTGCAAAAAGAATATTAGACAAAAAAGATATCATTTGAATTTTTTAAACAAATTTGATTTATGAAAAGTATTTTTAATAATAGTGAAAAATATTTGTAGCATAAAGATAACAGAGTGAGAGGAAAAACAGGTATGAATAGACAAGACAACAAAAATGAGTGGCGTAAAAGGGCTGTAAAAGGGATGAGATTAGACGAAATGCAAAAATGAAATAGTGTGGTGCGGGCATAAGGATGAATGATAAGATAGTCTACGAATAGTTTATTGGTTTTTGGCATTGCGCCCCTGAAACCTTGTGAAATGGAATTTGAGTGAATTTCTAGGTGGCAACGATGAATATCAGTGTATTTGTATTTGGTGCAGGATGATGTACGGGTTGTTTGGGTAAGTTGGTTTCCCGGTGAGTGGCGGTTAAGCAGATTGTTTGGGTAAGTTGGTTTCCCGGTGAGTGGCGGTTAAGCAGATTGTTTGGGTCGGTAAGTTGGTTTCCCGGTGAGTGAAGGGTAGGCAGGTTGTTTGAGCAGTTTGGTTTTCCGGTTAGTGGTGGGTGAGCGAATTGTTTGGGCAGGTTGGTTTCCTGTAGGTGACGGTTAAGTGGATTGTTTGGGTGAGTTGGTTTGCATGAGAAATCTGTAAAACGAATGAATTGCGAGTTTGATTTGCAAGAAATTGTTGCACTGTTTATAGCCAGTATGCCCAAATGTTTGATTAAATGAGACTATGAGTTTTTTTTTTTTTTTGAGGGGGGCGGGGGGTAACACTTTTTTGTTATGTTACTGAACAATAGGAAATTGGGTAAATAGGCGTTTTGGTTCTCAAGAAGCATCTTTTATCTCTTTCTTCATACTCTCTTTCTTCGAACTAGCAAATATTAAAGAAATGCCGAAAGTTCTGGTTTTCTGCTTTTCTAAAATTAAAAACTTGTAGTCTTGGATTTTTTTGCGAATTTTTTATTGATGAAGGTTTGTTTTACACTGCATTTTTTTTTTTTTTTTTTTTTCAGAGCTCATTTTAATGGACCATTTACAAGCGTTAATTGATCCAAGCAAACAATTCGCGAAAGATTCAATTCGATTGGTGAAAAGGTGCACAAAACCAGATCGAAAAGGTAATATACTTAGATAGACTTAGATTTAATTGATCACATTTCTCATCCAGATCTTTGAGGTGTATGTGTCAGTTTGATTTAATTTACTGTTTTGGGGATTGTTTGTTGGCATTTTTTACACAGTGCTAACTCCTGTGCATTTACATTATAGTCTTTGTTGATTAATGATGACGTGGCATAACATTGCTAAAACCTTAAATTATACAGTTTTTTTTTTTTGGTGATGCTGGGAAATTTTTATTTTAATCATAAACTATAGTATTAAATGTGAATGCGTTGAATAAGGCGGTTGAAATTCGTTAATGATACCGTAAAATTGAATTACTGATATCTAATTTTATTTCAAATGGCTGCAAATGAGTGTTTCAGAATATCAAAAAATTGCGGTAGCAACAGCAGTTGGTTTTGCCATAATGGGTTTTATCGGTTTCTTCGTCAAGCTGATCCACATTCCAATTAATAATATCATCGTTGGCGGATAATATAAATTTTTTGATAGGTTTATTAAACACACATATAATGAAGTAGTGTGATTAAAATGATATTCTATGCGAGAGTTACCAATAATTTATGTTATACAATGTGTTTGACAGTTGTATCATATCTTTGTTTCTTTTTTTTTTATTTTCTCACAGTGTTTGTGTTATATAATGATGAATTGATTAAAATAGATGTTTGAAATTTCAAATAAATTATTTCGAATCAGTAAAGTTAGTCGTTTTGTCTACTTTTTTAATTAATGAATTTTAAATAATGTTTTTTTTTTTTTTTTACACCGAAATTCTGAGAGGTATAACTTGCTGCTTTCCCAAAATAAAAAATGGGAGATTTATTGATAAAGATGATGATTTATGATTGAAGAATTAAGACCTTCCTTTTTCCTTCATGTTATTTTTCCTCTGAAACAAATGAAATGATGCGGTTATTTCCTTGATTGGTGGAGGATTGCAACATTTTTTGTAGTTGAAGTATTTTGAACAACAAAAGCGGTAACTTAGCTTTCCTTACTTTTGGTATTTAACTGTCGTAGTAGTTGAATGCTACGTAAATAGTGTCATTATTTCAACTTTCCCATTCAACTCTTCCAGGAAAAGCTATATGATCCTATCTTATATACATATACAATCCGGTCACTACCGAAAGGTATACAACATTTTTGGACCGGATAAACCTGGTGAGTAGTAATGCTGTGATGGTCGAATTATTTGTTAAATATTATAAGAATTGCTGTTAATACATGAGAGGAGAGTTTTATAATTTTTTTTTTTTTTGAAAATCTAATCAAAATTATTGTAGGAAAATGACGCCTGTGGTCATTTGCCTTTCTGGTAAACGAAAATGTGGTAAAGATTTTGTTGGAAGTTTGTTGGCTAATCGGTTAGAAAGAATTGGTTATAAAGTTATCATTTGTGGTATAAGTTATCCACTAAAAGAGGAATATGCCCAGTTGAATGGTATTGATGCTGAACGATTGAAATATGATGCACAGTACAAGGAGATATATCGTCAAGATATGATTTCATGGGGTGAAGGGATACGAAGCCATGATTCTGGATATTTTTGCAGGTTAATCGGAATGGAAAATTACTTCCGTATATTGTTTAACAATTAATAAAATAGAAAAATAAAAATAGAAAATCCTAGATTTTACTTCTATTTTTATGTGATAAAAACAAAAACAAAAAAAAACATATAATTCTGATGGATGAAATTTTTCTGGAATTAAACTTCAAATATTTATGAAAGATTGAATAACTGAATCATTTTCAGGAAAGTTTTAGCAAAAGCAAATTCAGTTGATGTATTAATTGTGACTGATTGTCGACGACTTTCTGATGTTGAATTTTTTAAGATACATTGTGGTCCTCGTTTAAGGTTATATAATCTTATATAATCATCTATTATTATTTCTCATTAGAATATGATTTATATCATTAATTTATATGTTGAACAAAATGTTATTTTTTTCAGATTAGCTTAATTGGCATTGTTTTCTTTTTTTTTTTTTTTTGATTAATTAGGTTAAATTTATCCTAGAAATTTTCTTTTATTTTTATGCAAGCAAAAAACATTTTTCGTAGGTCTAATAATTTACAGATTGTTACGTATCGAAACAACTTTACCAGTCCGGGAAATGCGTGGTTTTGTATTTATCAAGGGAATTGATGATCAAATGACTGAGTGTGGTCTCGACGATTATACTGATTGGGATATTGTAATTACCAATGATGTTCAAATTGTAAATGGAATATTACCAACTAATTTAGAAGAATGCTTAACTGATCTTTCTTTTGAGATAAGTCAATTATTGTTGAGTCGAAAATGATTTCCTGCTTATTGATATCATTCCTGAAGTTTTGAAAATTAAAAATGAAAAAGAGAGAAGTTACATTAAGTACCTTTCATTTATATTTCATATAGATTATTTATTATTTTTTTGTTAACTTTTAATATTGCTTTAAATGAAACTAGTTGTTATCTAGTCTACATAATATTTCATTGTTGAATTTTTTTTGTTTGATTCATGAATTATGCTCCATTCTTGATTTGATGTTGTAGATTCTGCTAGGATTGCTACCAAATTCAAATAAAATCTAAACAAGCTATACAATTGAGCTAATGAGCTATGAGTGTTATTTACATCATCAAAGATATCACAGAGAAGTTAATGTGTTTTATTTATCGCGATAAAAGCAAAAAATCTTCGAATTATATTTTAGAAAATATATGAATTTCTAAAATCAATAATTCTTTGATGTATTTCAATAGCAG